CCACCCCTGCCTGCCACCCCCACCGAGGTCCCCTCTCCCCCACCCCCATGTAGGCCCTGTAGATGTTAAACCCCCACAGAAGATGGATAGTTTGAGGGAAAAGTAAAAAAGAGAGCAATACATTATTCACCCTGCAGCTTTTAAAGAATAGCTATGTTGAGGCCCAGGCCACAATGTTACCTTTCAGCTACTAAAATCTGGAACACATTCCAGACTTACCTCTTTGACTTTTGTGAACCATATAAATTCTCCCACCAGCCCCAGAGGAGTCTAGTATCTTACAGTGTTTTAGGGAAGAGGTTAGGGTCCTTCAGGTTGCCTATGGTCATTCTTTCAGTCAACATGGATGAAATAAAATGTTCTGGAAGCCACCTGGAGCTGCTGTGTGAGGGATATAGTCAGGGATATCCTGGGCCCTGCCCGAGGGCTTGCCTTCTGGTCACTGTAGCCGCCTCCACAGAAAATGGTTATCAAGTGCCAGCTTTGTGTGGGCACAAGGTATGTGCCCACCTTTTAGGGGCCCATTCATCTCCTAGGGCTGCCATACAAAGCAACACACGGGGTTGGCTTCAACAACAGAAATACATCATTCTGGAAATTCACTGTTCTGGACCCTAGAAGTCAAGATCAAGATGTTGACAGGGTTGGTTCCTTCTGGAGGGTGTGCAGGAGGAACTCTTCCCTGCCTCTTACTGCTCCTGGTGGTCTGCTGGCCATCTTTGGCACCCTTGGCTTCAGATGCCCCACCCCAGTCTCTGCCTTCATGTTCCATGGCATTCTCCCTGTGTGCAGGTCTGTGTCCAAACTTCCCCTTTTATTAGGACAACAGTGAGCTTAGATTAGGGCTCCTACTCCAGTCTGACCCCATTTTAAGGGATTACATCTACCATGACCCTATTTCCCAATAAGGTCCTATTTTGACTAATTGGGGGGTAAGACTTCAACATATGAATTTTGGGTGGAGATACAATTCAACTCATACTAAAGGGACTTAGACATGAGATACAGACCTAGGAAACAGCCACACAAGGCAGCATCTGCCAAGAGCTGACCATGGACATGGGGCTCAGGGAAGGACATTCTCCTCCAGGATGGAACTGGGGGAAGGCTTGGTGAATGGACTGGGAAGTGACCTGATGTGGGAAAAGGACTTACATGAGGAAGAACTAAGGCCTTAACAATGCAAGCTACAAACCCACAAGTTTAGTTGAAACAGGAGGATGTGGGAGAGTGGACGATGGGTCATATTAAAGAGGCTTTTGCATGGCAGGCCAAGAGTTTGGGCTTAATCCGGGAGATGACCCTGGAGCCCTTAAAGTCTTTTGTCTCCCAAGGAATCCTGTGCCTCAAATCAATAAAAACAACTTTGTGTCTAGTTATGTATTTACATTATAGATTCTTGTCAGAGCAGACCATTTCCAGGCTTTCCAGAGTTCACAAAATAATTTGAACAACAGCTCCCCACGTTGAATAATCATTTTTGTAGTTGTGATGTGTTTGTTCATGTTTGTTTGTTCGGGATGAGTTTGGTCTTCGGTAAAGAACTCTACTTGTTGCAAAATAGAGGACCAGACTGAGCTGATTTGCATCAACCTCCTGGGTGAGGAGTCCATCTGGTTTACATTTGGTCCCAGTTGGAAACAGCCAAACTATTTTTCTGCTCATCCCTTTGCTGGCAGGAGGCTCTGGCCTGCTGCTTGGAAACTTGAACTCAACACTGTACCAGTTAAAGCCCTCATTCAGAAGACTGACACTATTATTTCTCTCCAAATGCACAAGTATAAAGAACTTGACAATTTTACATTTATAAGTTGATCCAAGGGGTAAAGGACTCCACTTGTATGCTTGCAGAAACTAGGCATCTGTCCAAGTCAGTCCTGCCTCAAAGCACCACTGAATGTGAAGAATCACTAATCAGTTGTTCTCAAACTCAAGTGGCATCAGGGACATCTGGGGACTTGTTAAAACCAAAGTTGCTGGGTGCCGTGCCCCAAAGTTCTGAATTAGTAGGTCTGCGGGAAGGCTGGAGAACTTGCATTTCTATCCAGTTCCCAGGTGATGCTCATGCTGCCAGTCCCAGGGCCACACTTTGGGAACAACTGCTTTAAACTAGAAAGACAGTCAGATTGCCTACTCTAGATTTATTTTGCTCAGTGAAAAAAATCAGAGGGCAGAGTGAGGCTCTTATATGTCTCTTCTCTGCCATG